GACACCTGGTATTCACATTGCCACGTCAGCTCCAGCTCAGGTTATTTCTATCTCCTCCTATTCTTCTAGCAGTGGGGATTCTTATCAAGAAATCTCTGGGCCTTTTTCTAATAATCACATGTATGACCCAAGTGCTAATTTGGGCCTATCTCAAGTTCACAATATGGCGGGTTCAGATTTTAATGGTAATTCAAGTTCTTTTAATTCTCATGTGGGCAAGCAATATCAACATCTAGGTAGCCCAAATCCTAATCCTACTCAACAAGCCCAAGTCTGTGAATTTTCTGCTCCCATTCGGATGGCCTCGTCTCTTCCTTCAGATCAGACTCCCCTGTTTCGCAGGTTGGATCCATACACCTTAATTGGTGGTGCTGCTCCAACTCCGGCAACGACAACAACGGTGCGTCGCTTCTCCCCTCCGCTTGTAGGGCCGTCAGGCCCAATTTTCCCAGACCCTTTCGGTGCTGGCCCGAGTAACTGGGCTACCCCTCTTCCCCTGTCTACTCCGACTGAAGCTCCCATCTTATTTCCATCACCTTCTCCGTTGCTTGCAACTTCGTTTCCAACCCATAGCTCGGGTGAATTGGGATATATGGCGGATTCTTCTGCAGATGGGCTTAATTTTTCTCATGACTCACAAACCACCTCACAATTACTGCAAGGGTACCAGGTTCCTCTTGATAGTACAAAGGTGAACTCGAATGGTCCGGCACCAATGGATTGCTCTCCTCCTATTTCAATCCCATCTTCTCCAGGTTACTCTTCTTCAGGTGCTGCTACCCCTCTGGTTCGTGACACAGGGCAGGGCAAACCACTTACATTGAAATTATCGAAAAAAGGAGAAAGAATGTGGAAATGGGTCAAGGATGTTTGCCCGTGCAAACGTCAATCTAACTCTCTAGAGCCTCCAGCTCCTCGCTCTCAAGCATCAGATGTTGGTTCAGTCTGTCTCTCGTTCCTCAAACCGTCCAAGAAACGCAAGTGTAACTCTAATGGTTCTTCTTCTTCGGATGGTAACTCAGCAGAATCTATGGGTAAGATGGCTGCCCGTAACGAGCCACCAGAGGGCCATGAATATAGGCGCGTGGAATTGTAGGGGGCTTGGCTCGGCGGACTCTCCTAAGGTTTCGTATGTTGCTTCTCTAGTCCGCTCTTTTGCTGTAGATATTATGTTTCTCATGGAAACTCTAGTTTCTGTAAGTATGGATGTACAAAAGTTATCTCTAGTTGGCTTTGATGGGTTTTGTGGAATAGATGCTTTAGGTCTTAATGGGGGTTTAGTAGTTTTTTGGTTTGCCCCTGTAGTAGTTAAGTCGCTTTCTATTTCCCCGAATGTGATATTTTGTGAAGTGTCGGTTCCTGGTCAAGCAATAAAATATATTATATTTGTGTATGGTTCGCCTCACGTTTCTTTTAGAAGTTCGGTTTGGAATGAAATCTCCAACATACTATTTCAGTTCCAAATGTTGTTCTTTTAGGCGATTTTAACCAAGTATAGTACTTTTCTGTTAAAGTAGGGGGATCTTCTGAGATTCCTGGTTGACATAATTTTATTGAGTGGAAATTGGACTCTCGGTTAATGGATATCCCGTTTTCTGGTCCCCATTTCACTTGGACTAATGGACAATTACAGAATCCTACTTATGAAAGACTTGATAAAGGATATGCTACTCCGTCTTGGTTTGACCGGTTCCCTGAGACTTCTATCTATCATCAACCTATCTTATTTTCGGACCATGCTGCTATAATTCTGCGGGATTTTGGTTTGCCAACTTGCAGGAAACGTCCGTATAAGATAGAAAATTGGTGTCTGGGTCTGAGAGAGATCTCTACTTTGTTTATTTAGGAATGGCAACACTTTTATCCTGGTTCTTTTATGTTCTCTGTCTCAAGGAAATTGGATGATATTAGGAAAGGTTTAATGTCTTGGTGTGTTACTAATAAAAGGGGCTGGGGCATTGACTGGCAAGATTTGCCGAGTTCAATTGCAGTTGGCTCTTCTAATTTGCATTCTGCTCGGGAGTGGAGCGACCTTCTTTCCCTTCGGCAAGAAAAACTCTCTCGAGCCCAGATTGCTTTCTTATTCTGGAAACAGCGATGTAAGACTCGTTGGGATGCATTAGGTGATACTCATTCCAGTCTTCTCTTTCGTTCGGTTCAAGCTCGGCGACGGCGTAATAAAATAATGGGTCTACGGGATGAAAATGATAAATGGGTTTCTGACTACCCCCAAATTTCTGATCTCCTCCAGCAGCACTTCTCTTGTCTTTATTGTGATGGGTCGTATCCGTCTCCGCAACCTTGTCAGTGGGATGATTTAGATATCCCCTCTCTTTCCTCTGACGACTGCCAGTTCCTGCTTAATCCTTTTTCTTATTCTGAAATTAAGGATGCAATGTTCCACATTGGGTCGGATAAGTCTCCAGGTCCGGATGGATTTACAGTAGGTTTCTTTAAAAGTCACCGGGCGGTGGTGGGTTCCCAAATTGTTGATGTTGTCCAGTACTTCTTCGCCCATGACTACCTGTTAAAGGAATGGAATCGTACCTTTTTAGTGTTACTTCCTAAGGTCGAACATCCAGAAACTCCATCCCAGTTTCGTCCTATTGGTTTATGTAATGTGCTCTATAAGTGTATTGCGAAGTGCCTCACTAATCGGCTTCGTCGAGTGCTTCCTTCTCTGATTTCGGATACGCAGAATGCCTTTGTGCTGGGTCGGATTATGACGGATAATGGGCTACTAGCCCATAAGTTGCTATCTTATATGTCAACTTCTTCTACTAGGCTTTGCTCGGCGGCTTTGAAACTTGACATGAATAAGGCTTACGACAGGGTGAATTGGGATTTCCTTTGGGATACTCTGCGGCATTTTGGGTTTCCCCCGTACTGAGTTCATATATTGCAACAATGTGTTACTACAGTGTCTTATCAGATCCTGGTGAATGGGTCTCCTTCCCAGCCTTTTATTCCACAGTGTGGTTTGCGTCAAGGTGATCCATTATCTCCTTATCTTTTTGTGCTTTGTATGGAAGTCTTTTCGTTAATGCTTCGTCGAGATGAAAAGAAAGGTCTATTTCAAGGTTTGCGCATCTCGCGCCAGGCTCCCTCGATTTCTCATCTTTTCTTTGCGGACGATGCATTGCTTTTCTTTCGGGTTTCTCCTATGGCTTGTGACCATATCCTTTCAGTTACAAATGAGTTTTGCTCAGTCTCAGGTCAGATGATTAATTTGCAAAAATCTTTTGTGAAGTTTAGTTCTAACACTCCGGATGATTACCGAGATTATTTGGCCTCGACTCTTCGTATGAATTCTCGCTCTTCTATTGGAGAATATTTGGGTCTCCCGGTAGATTTGGGTCGTGGTAAATGCAAGGAGTTCCAGTTAATGGTAGATAAAGTGGTTCAGCGTCTTTCGTCTTTTGCCTCGCTGCACCTTTCTCCTGCTGCTAAACTGATTGTTATTAATTCTATCTTGGTGGCTACCTTCAATCATATCCTTTTTGTTTTCAAAATTCCCGCCACTATTTGTGATAAGATTGATTCGCTGCTTGCTCGGTTTTGGTGGAGTTCTGGTAAGAATTCCAGAGGTTTAGCTCTTGCTCCTTCCAGTACTTTGCATCTTCCCAAAGGATTGGGAGGTTTAGGAATTCGCCACCTTCGGTCTTTTAATGTGGCTTTATTAGCTAAATAAGCTTGGAGGTTGAAGCTAAATCCGCAGCTCTTGGCTTCTCGTGTTCTTAAGGCGAAGTATCCTTCCCTCTTTTCGAGTCCCCCTTCTGTTTCTTGTTCCAGGCCGTCGTGGGGCAGTTGAGGGCTAGTTGAGGGGGGTGTTGTTCTTTCCTCTGGTCTTGCCTGGAAGGTTGGTTCGGGCAATAAGATTAGTATTTCTAATGATTGTTGGCTCCCAAATATTGAGGTTACTTTTAAGGATTCAATTACTGAGGATAATCGGCCATCTTTAGTGTCGGACTTGATGATTCCATATTCTTCTTCTTGGAACATTTCCCTGATTCGGTATCTTTTTCCTGATGCGGTTGCTTCTGCGATCCTTGGGTTGGATCGTCCGTTTCAGATGATTGACGACTATGTCTACTGGAAATTCACTCGAGATGGATCTTTTTCCACCAAATCAGCTAACTCCTTTATTATATCTCAGAATGATTCTCAATGTTTTTCTCATCTGCCTCCTGCTTGGTGGAAACGCTTGTGGGGTTTACCTATTCTTCCGAAATGGAAGGTTTTTACTTGGAAGATTTTGCATAATGCCCTTCCTACCGCTGCCTTACTTGTTCTCAAGGGTCTTTTGATTATTGACTCGCTTTGCCTTTACTACCGTTCTGCCGTGGAATCTACAGAACACTTATTCCGGAGTTGTTCCTTCTCTCGGTTTATTTGGGATTCTTTCCCATGGGACGCTGGCCCTTCCCTGGACTCTCCTCTTCCTTTCCAAGATTGGTTCTCGGAAGTTATCTCCAGTTTTGTGGTTTCCAAGAATTGGTGTGCGCTAGACCGCTTCTTTGGTACTTGTTGGCTATCTGGTTAACTCGGAACAATATTAGATTTAGATCGGAGGTGTACTCTCCTAACTTGGTGCTTGATTTGGCCTCTGATTGGTTTACCCGTAGTAAGAAGGCTCGTAAAATTGTCAGCTCTTCTTCTTCTATCTCTTCTCCGGGGTTTACTTGTTCTCCTTTTAGTAGGGTCATTCGGGGAAACCTTTCTGCTTCTTGTGAGAACCTGTTGCTTTTTGGTGGTGCTTGGGAGCAGGGGACGTGTAATGCTAGTGCAGGTTGGTGCTTTCGGGAGGCTGCTTCTTCCAGGGTTTTGGGGGGTGGTGCTCGGGCTTGCATGGCTAGTTCTGCTCTTCATTTTGAGCTTTTAGCTTGTCTCTATGGGCTTAAGCATGCTCGACAACGGGGTTTTACTAGTATCTGCCTTCACTTCTGGATAGTGTATCTCCTGATATTTCAGTGGTTTGGATACTGCGGGATATTCTTGGTCTGTTATCTTCATTTACTACTTGCCATATACGTAAGGTCGCTCGGGGTTCAGTTATGGAGGCGCACTCTCTTGCTATAGCTGCTAGGCGTAGGGATTTACTTTTTCATATCTTTTAGTTTTCTTTTGTTGTTCCCTTTGTCAAAAAAAAAAAAAAAAATACTAGTCCCTCGAAAATCAAATTCCAAAAAAAAACCTTGTACTCTTGGAAAGTACGTTTTCTAGCCAAGACCAGACCAAAGCAGGAAAGCCAAGACGTGAAAGTGAAATTGGTGCACCAACTCAAAGAGCTTCGCATTAATCGCAACAATGGACTCCATTACCCAAAACCCATCAACTCAAACCGATGATGCTGATGAAGATCCACTTCTTAAAGCTTCAATGGCGACTCTTAATCTTTACAAAATTAGGGACACTTTTTACCCCAAAAACCCAGATGACAAAATTTCCAAATTGCAGCAGGATTCTCAGTATTGTCTCAACTTGCTTGATTCTATACCACCTGGTAATTTTGTTTGTTTCTTTTTGTTCTTGCAGTTATTTGTGATTTTACTTGGGTTTTAGTTCAATCTAATGAATTCATTCTAATTGATTACTGAAGTTTGCGATTAGTAGTTATGTATGAATTTATGATTTAGCAAACTTTCGATGCAATGATGTTTCTTGTTTGGTTTATAAATTTTTTTAATACAGTATAAATTTTGATCTAAACATGATCTAGCAGAGTTAAATAGTTTATTTTAGTGGCAGTGAAATTTCATGAGGATTAACAATTTGATACTGACAGAAAGAGATTGTTAGATTTATTAATGTTATGTATATACTAGGTGGTTGAAATTTTGTTTGATGATGGATTATTTATTGCGTAGTTTGTGATTTATGTTAGGGAGTTGCTGTTGAGCAATTTTCCCTTATGTGAGTACATTGGCAAGATTGACAATGCGCCATTTTATAATTGCCAGCTTATTGACATTGTTTGAACAAATTCATAAACGCCGTTTACAGCCCTGGGATTAAGGTTCTATAGCTGTTATATTGTAAGTTGAAAAGCGTGTACTGGAGCAGTTGGACTTTGAATGAGATATACATGAATACTTGGCAGCCAAAATGTCCATTGCCCTTGGGTTATGAATTATGATGTTGAATCCTTTGCCACAAATTGCCTTTAGTCTGTGTTGGCTACGAATAAGTGGCCTTGAATCCTTTATAGTTGTTGGTTCTGAAGTACTCACCAACAGTAGGTTATTTTATATAATGTATGATTTTTTTTTGGTCATCAAATTGATTTCTTGAAATTCATGTGACCAGTGTGCAAAATACTTCCTCTGTTCTTTTTTACTTGACCTGTTTCTTTTATCACGCTTGTCAATGCAAACCTTTAACGATCAATAACTTAAATTCTCCATAAGTTAAAATTATAAAAATTATATATTATGATAATACTTATTGAGACGAATCCAAAAAGATCATACATGAATATATTTTTCCTTACATATTATTCACAAAAGACGGTCAAATGAGGGGTGGTGAATAGTGCAAAAGACAAAGCAGGTCAAGTAATAAAGAATGGGGGAAGTATATACTCTAGTAGTAATTAATATTTTCTTTGGGAACATGTTTGGTTTACAAGATAAGTGGAAATTGTGGTGGAACTTTAAATTGCTTTAGAGAAGTTTTGAACCCTCAATCTATTGTTTAGATGAACTATAATGCCTAAATTTAGAATCACGGGTAATAGATCTTATATATTTGATAGCCCAAACTTGGTAGGGCCAACCTCCTCTGGGCTTGGTGCAAGTTATGTTCTTGATTGAAAAGGTAGAGAAATGGAACAAGAGATTATTGTATTTTGTTTAATGGGTAGATCTTTTGAGGGATCTTTTGTTTGGTTAGCTAATTTGGTTTGACAATGGTTTTTGTCATCATGATTCTTTTTGCCAAATTTCATTGATTGGGAGAGACTGAAAGAGAGATAGATAATTATTTAATTTCTGTTCTTAATAAGAAAACAACAATTGCCTATGTCTCTTTTTAAATCCTGTGTATTATGTAAAACCAAAATGAGAAGTTGGTAATGTGAGATGATTTATGGGCATGATTCATCCTATTATGTATAGAAGTTGTTGGGGGGGGGGGATTATGGACTAATATTTTTGAATTCGGGCCAAATGTTTGTTTTAAGTAGTTATTGCTGTGAAATTATGTGCAATATGCTGCATTTAGTGAGCTACTTGTTGGAGCAACTACTATCTGTCCAGATTGGCCAGTGACACTGGTTTGTTGCATGGTTTACATGGCAATTAATTAGCAGCAGAGTGATAAGTTAAATTGTTGACATTGCGATATCAGTTGCAATGCTTGTTCCTTTGTTTGTCATTAATGAAGTGTTGAAAAAGCCCTAGTTTTGTTGGGTGGAGATATTTCAAGTTTATCCCTTATTTTATAGCTTTAGCTTTTAGGCAAGTGAACATAATCAACTTACGTAACCCCTCTATGTTAAACTCTTAAATCGTAAGAGTCTATTTTTGAGTGAAGTAACTTTAAGCTCTAAGCATTTCCAAATGCATCAATCGATTTTTAATTTAATTTAACTATATAATTCTTTGCTTATGATTTGTTAGTTGTTACTATCAAACATACAAGCTCTTGGAAAACTCTCCTTTAAAATTCTATATTCTTGTCATCCTTGGATTTCTAGATTTTTATAATCTCTTTTCCTTTCTACCATTCTCTTCTTTTGGTAGTAATGATGTCGCTAAGCTCAGATGTATACACAAGAAAATTTATGTATTTTTCTATTCTTTTTTTTATTTTTTTGAATTCAGGGCTGCCTTACATAAAAAATTTCCTTAGTTTTCAATTCTGGATGTTCGTTTCCTACTACCCTACTTTTTAGGAACAAAGTATTATGCTTGCACCTTTCAGTATACTTGAACAGTCTTGCAGAATAAATATTTATCCTGTGTTAAAATTACATAATTAGAATAGTCACAAGGTCATGCACCAAGCTGAAATGGGATAAATAAAAAGATTTAATGAAATATTGGAAGTAGTATCAGCGGGATTCCTTACAATCCGAATTATTCACATATATATATTCATGAAGTAGTTTGCTTTGGCTTGATATGCTGATAAGAATTGTTAGTTCTATTATTGCTGTTAATTTCTGCAAACAAGGTTGGTTTTGTCATAGTTTATGTAAGAAAACCCAATTGTTCTTCTGCAGAGTTCAGGAAATCTGCAATTCAGCGTGCAACTTATGAACATTTGAAAGGAAAAGTATTGGACGTTTTTCCAGACTACAGGAAGGAGGCTGAAGATCATCTTTCAAAAGCAGTAGGTTACAATTATATACAGTTGGTTTTAAGTCGGTTTTTTTTTTTTTTTTTTTTTTTTTTTTTTTTTTTTTTTTTGTTCATGTCAAACGTTTATTGTCTCTCCAGGTTAAGTTGAACCCATCTCTCACAGATGCCTGGCTATCCCTAGGGAATTGCTTTTGGAAGAAAGGAGAATTAGTATCAGCGAAAAAACTGTTTTCATCGTGCATTAAGTAAGGTAATATCTGCAATTGCTTTGCTTAGCTGCTTCTAAAACGATGACTTGCTCTAGTTGTTTATTGTTCACATGAACTGTACAGGGTCCAGACAAAAATGTATTATGTCAGTTGTCGATGCTGGAAAGGAAAATGGCTCAAGGTTCGTGTTGATTCATCCATTCATTTATAAGTTGCTTATGTATCATATATTTCAAGTTTGGAGTGCTTTTGATGATCTTTTGAATGTGTAGCTCTTCAGTTGCAGCATTAGCTATGTAAATAGATAATTGTCGATTCCATTAAATTACAAAAGTTTGCTCTGGATCCATACCACTTGAAAGTGGGTAAAGTAGGAATTTCTTCTAGGAAAAAATATACTTGCTAGCCTTGGGCCGGGGCAGAGTTACCTAACGTAGCACGCTCCAATACGCAGAACAAGTACGAGGCAGGGTTACCTAATACGTAGCACGCTCCAATACGGGGAACAAGTACAAATTCACAATACACTAGATGGGGTATCGTAATATGTTGGTTTTTTTTTGTAAGGGGTCATAATACGATATAAAAAATACAGCCTATTAAATATAAAAGGTTTTTTTTTTTTTTTTTTTTTTTTTTTTTTTTTGGGGGGGGGGGAGGGGGGAGAATTGGTATAAAAGACTTAAATCGGGGGTCAATGAAGGGGAGTATTAGGTCACCTGCAAAAGAAACAATAGAAACAGGATAGCAAAAGAAGGAACTTCCTCCCCCTCCCCTAAAAGCCACTATGGTGTTTGGTTGGAGTAATGGAGACAAACAAACAAACCCCACCCTTGTTGATCTATTCTTATTCTCCAACACCCCTCCTCATTAAATCCTATAATCATAATACGACGAATACACTAATATGGGAGTATTAATACGCAAAAGTATTGAGTATTGGAACGAAAGTATTAATATGGAATGCTGGGGGGTGGGTGTAAGGGAGTATTAGGTAACTTGGGCCTATGCATGGGAAAATACAACAATATATAAATGAATATACTATATTGTAAGCAATTCCTCCATAACTATTGATACCAACTTATACCATAAATAATCAGATTAGATTAGATCTTATCTTAGCTTTTGTACCTGCATTTGTTTATTGTTGAATATCCTTTATTTTCGTAATTTAAAAAATTATGAAAATTACACCTTGAAAATTTTATGTTATTTCGAATCTAATGACATCTCATTTGATGATTTCTTTAATCTTACGGATTAGTGTACAAATTAGGTTAGGGTTTGGTCAAATTAGTAAATAAAATTGGACCCGATCAGACCACATTAGAAAAAATCAGATCAGATCATGTGAACTGAACATAGCCTATATCTTTTGCTAAATGGCGGGATACTAATCTTTTCTCACAAATGCTATAGGTCCATCCAAATGGTTGAGCAATGACATTAGCAACCCCCTTTTGAAAGATAGTGCCATTTTAGTAAAGTCCCACCACGACAAAGGAAATGATTTAGCAATTGCAACATACGCTGTATATCTAGCATTGACAGTTGCATTATTTTCCTGCTGAGTGTTATTCCCACTTCCCCCTTCCTTTTGCCCCATTTTGGGATTGCTGCTTTCTTAATTTTTGGAGAGTGATGGGAGACAAAATTGGTGGGACCAAGTGCAATGAATGTGAGAGTAAAACGGTGGTCCCTCATAGTCATTTATAGTACAAAGAAACTCAAAGGAACAAAGCAAAAAGGAAACTAGGCAAACAAAAGGAGGAGGGAGTGCAAAGCTATGAGCTATATGCTGACAAAGTGACCTGAAACACTGTCATGCCAGCACCCAGGATTATGGAACATGTGTCACAAATGAAGCAATTTTTTTTTGAAAAGACCATGTTATTTCTGTGTCCAGAGTCCCAGTATATGTTTACCGTGGAGGGAATTACATTTTCATGAGTGTATTGTATATACCCAGGCAACAGAGCATCTAGTCTTCTGGAGGTTGTGCCAAAAAGAGGGAGTATCAGGTGCAGCTGATCTTTATTCAGCATAGATTTTGATCTATCTACTGCAAATATTAGCTGATCATAGAAGTTGGCTAAATAATGAATGTGGTGCACATTGTATATTAATAGTCCATGCTTATCATTTTTCTCTATCTGTATCTCAATGTACCAGCTAAAGAGCACTGTGGTTGCTATGTTATCAGCAGGACCATGTATTATGTTTATTGAATGTGTGGTCACATTATTGCAGATAGTGACAACAAAGCAGAGCTTGTTGATGAGAGTATCCGGCATGCTAAGGAAGCTATAGCTTTGGACGTGGCTGATGGAAATTCCTGGTGTAAGACTTTGAAGGCTCTCTATTGATTTGTACGATTTATATATTGCCTGCTTTTCTTCTAATTGCATTGGGATTGCTAGCTATGTACTTTGTCCTTGATATGCTCACCTGTACAATTTTTCCTAGGTTTCTTGTTCGTTTCATGTTTAATGTTTCAGAATTTCCGGTTCGATTGAACGCTGTGTGTTTATGAATAGGGTTTTAGGATCTGGTCACTTACTATACTGTGTCTTTTTTTTATAGCTTCTACCTTCATAGCGAAGCTTTTTGTAACTCCTGTCTTTGGTTTGCCAGATAATCTTGGGAATGCATGTCTTACAAGCTTTTTTGCATCGGGAGCCTGGGATCATTCAAAACTTTGTCAATCGTTAAAAGCATACCAAAATGCCGTAAGTATATGGTTAGCAACAGCCTTTTTTGCATTAATTTTATCTTTATCTCAATTTCATCTAGGCTAATAAGATGTCACTTTTATAGTTTTATCTGAAAGTTTTGCAGATTTATGAAAACTTAATCGAATATCAGTTTTCCATTGCTTGTGTTTTGTATGATTTAACCAGTATATGGTTATTTACTTATAAGATGTAATGAGGTCTGTTGGTCAATGAGAACATATGGCTGGAGTGAGGCTGAAGACAGCATTACTGCAGAAACCTCTTAACTATAAATGACTCGCTTTCTATAATTTAAGCATAATGGTAAGACTGCTGTAGATTAACAAAATATGTAATATGAAAAATGTTTGTACCTTGTACTCACAGAAAAAAAAAAATATATAGAAATGCTCTGATACTCTCTCAGCATATATTGTGGAAATGCTTAATTCAATCTTTCATGTCTGTGATATACCAAGAATATGCAAATATCTATGTTATTTTGTTGGAAAGCTAGCATGGAAAATAATGTATGTTCCTTTGGTGTTTGGAATCTGATCTAGCCATGGAAGATCTTAAGTTTTGGACTTTTCAGTGTCTTATGTTCGCTGTGTGGTCATAATACAGGAGAAAGATGAAATGATGAAGGGCAATCCAGATCTGTATTTCAACTGTGCCACAGTAAGTGCATTCATTTATTTCCTTTTTTATTGGGTTTGTTTGAAGCTTATTATAGGCTTAATATATTCAGACCTCAATCACTATGCCAAGACAACATTGACTACTTATTCGGTTATTCCCTTATAGTTTCTTGCCTACTGGCTTCCTTACAGATATGTAAACTTCTTGATTGTTTGTCCTAAATCTTTTAGTTAAAAAAGTATTATAAATTACAAGAGTATGATTGGTAGACAATAATATTTTATCATTGGGGATTGGTATCTAATGCAAGGGAGTGTTGGATGATGTATCTTTGCTTCTTGATAAGGTTGATTGTTATTTATTGGATTTGTTAGATTTTCTTTGTGGGATTCAAAGCTCGATTAGGAAGTGGGTTATATGTGTAGGCCTTATTTAAGGGGAGATTATTATAAAAAACCTCGCCTTGCTTTTGGATCCATTGAGAAAGTATTGGGCTATCAGCTGGGAAGGGGAGTGGGCGATCCACTGGTTTATTTCCGGTTACTATTTTAGATTCTTCTAGTTGTGAAACCTATGCCTTTCAATGTATCCCCACCCCCCCCCCCCCCCACTCCCCCCCCCCCAAAAAAAAAAAAAAAAAAAAAAAAAAAAAGAGGGAAGGAAGACACCTAGGAGTCTTGGTTATCAATTATTCAATATAGAGATTCTTACATACAGATCTGATCTAGACTTGAAACCATTTTGAACTCTTGCCTTTGTTCAGATATTATCATTTCTGCCGTAATATATACAAAATGTTAACTAACGTATGTCTAATTACTGTTTCTAGCTGATATTTGTCTATTTCTTTGGCAACAATATGAGAAACTTTCTGCGTTCCAACTATGAGTTCTTTCTATTTCCACCCATCCTAGTAGTCCTAGTCTTCTGAGTACTATCATTTAAAATACAATTAGCATAAGCTTATGGCATCCTGAAGTAGAAAAATTGACCATTGTTGGCTTGAATCTGAAAAGGCAGTTCTAAACAACACACTGAGAAACAAAGACATGCATTTGTGGAAGCTGAGGTTGAGTTGTATGTATACGGCTTACTTTGTTCAATAAATCGTGGTTGATGTGCATGTGACTTTTTTTTTTTTTTTTTTTTTTTTTTTTTTTTTTTTTTGTGGATTGGAGGAAGGTTTATCATTGCTCATTGAGTGCAGCAGGATAAATTACTCTAATCCTGCGCTGCTAGTTTGAGCAAGGTTATAGGTCGCTGATTTGAGCGCAGCATAATTAAGTGCTTGCTTTCCAGGCCACTTCCCATTTTTACTTCTATAGATCTAATTTTTATTGCATTAGATGATCGGCTTGACTTCAAGAATACTGAAAAAGTGTTTCTTTCAGGTGAACAAGTATCTCGAGAACTACGACAAGGCACTGAATGGATTTGAAGCAGCTTGTAAAATTGACCCTGCTCTAAATGCTTCTGGAGAAATCCAGAAAATGGTCGGTCTCCTTGACAAATTGGAGAGCTTACTAAAGGTTATAATTTTTCCTCACAAGTCTCAAATAATTAGGACAAATGCTATATACATCTGAATCTTTTATAACTCTCCAAGAGAGGATTAATACTGGATGGTATTTGCAATAAGTAACAATTTTGGTGATGAAACTTTGAGGATTATCCTTCTATTCTTATCTTGAGTTGCAATTTACTTATAGTAGAGATCTTAGGACCTTGATGATAAGAGATGGTAAGAGTAGAATATGAACTGTTGAGAGATAAAGATCTTAGATTCTCGATGCATTTAATTTAACAACCTTGATGTTACTGATCATTAGATAATATTTTTTCCTGACAGGGACATATTAAAGCTAAGCGTCTGGCTTCTCTTGTGTCCTCTCTAGTTCCTGTTGAAGGTAAGCTCCCCTGCCTTATATAGAAAATCTATGTTTCTTTTTCCTCTTTTTCAGGGTTATATATTTATAAAAGGACTTAACAGCTTGCCTTTTTGATCCAGCAAATCTGTCATACAAAAAGGCCACTATAGATCTTCTGTTTGAAGGTCTGAACAAGTCAACAGCAGTTACTGGCAAAGTGCTTTTCTATGTTAAACACGATAATGTTGCACCACTGTGAGTCCTCTTCTCAAGAAATTACTTTTATTGCATATATTACTAAATAAAATAACCTGTCCTCTTTCCTGCTGCGATGAGATTTTAAGATGTTCCATTCTGATGTTCATTAGCTGACAAGTAGCACTGCACATAGGGTTAGCCAATCAATGAATAACAGGTTCTTCTCTTATTTCCAATATCTCTACGTGTGGGTAAAAGGGTGGGTGGTTGTTCCTGGCAAGTGTTCATAACTTCATATCAGTTTGTTTTGTCACTGGTTAGTGTTGTGCATGCTTTAAATGTTGCGAAGCAATAATGCCTTTGCTTAATCCAGTAGGAAGGGTGTTAGGCAGTTGCCTTTCCCCACATTTTCTATGGCTTACCATGCAAATAATAAATCATGCAAGCTTGCCACTTGCTAAATTTCAGGTGATTTGGGGTAAAGAGGGAATTAGAGAGTGCAGATGTTTGCTGTTGGTCTTTTCTAGACAACCCTCTGCTTTGGGGCCCTTGTTCATGTTTGAAATCTTGTAATGCTAGTGCTTTGATTGATGAGTCTTGTGTCTAATTTCGATGTATGATTGATTCTGCAGATATTATGTAGCATGTGATTCGAATCAGATGTGTTTTGTCCTTTCAGTGTATGGGATACAGGACAATGTGGTAAGATGCCGCATTTTCAGCAGCCTCTACTTTCATGCGTTTATATATTCCCTAACTAATTTGAAGATCACACTAAAGAATTTATATTACTTGATTTGCTACAGAAAAAAAAAAAAATCTCTCTTTTATTTATTCTAGGGGAGATATTCTGGATAATTATTCGAAATTTAAGCTGCTCCCTGCTATTACACTAAAAAGATACAAATTGCTTGCTGGACAGTCATTTACATTAATGTAATTGATTGTCATATTTCATCTACTTATATGTCAAGTAAAACAAACTAAATCTCATTTCAAGAATACTGCTCCGAATATCAATCACATTTGTACACCCTACATAGTTGTTTCTTCAGCACAGTTCAACCAAATTGTGTACTATTGCAGGTGAGATTTATTTAACCTGATGGAGTAGTGGAAAATTCACATATAACTTCGGTAACACTTGGGATATTTGTGAATAACTATGTATTTCCGTGTGGTGAACAGATCAGGGAGGGAGATCAAATAACGTTGCTGGAACCTTGGTTCAAGAATGTCAATTTTTCTTGGAAAGGAAAAGTATGCTGCAATTCTTAATTTACTAGTGCCTTCACTTGTTTTGCCTTTGAATATGATGTTTTCTTTCATGCTCATCCTGGCTCTTTTTTTCTTGTTCGTAATCATTTCAGCATTATTCGTTTAAGTCTATTCGCGCTGATTTCAAAGAGCAAGTGATGGTGAATGGTAAAGCACTGTCAGCAAATCAAGCAATAAGTACATCATTCTATGCACAGCATAAGCCCACTTAACCTCACCAGGTCGTTGCGATTTTGAGTATATATCTGCAACTACATGAGAAGGGGTGCATTATAGCTCTCTTAGTGACTTGTAATTTTGTACATTGTGTAAACTAGCCAAAATCATTTAGCATAATCCAAATATAGGTTTACTCCAGCGTTTCCCTGTGGTTATTGTTTTCATTTTATGTGTTCATATTCTAATTGGACATTTGTATAAAGTTTTGATGTGCTCTGTGTGATAAAGTGAAGACATATGAATGAATAGATGAAATATGACAATTAATTAATTGATGCTTAAACATAGCTAAATTACAAAAATATGTTGGTTTAACAAATACTCTGTACTATCTCTACATGCAATTTTTTTCTTCATAAAACCGCTAAACCGCTAACTTTAGCAGGATTAACAACTAGCATGTATATTCTATTTAAAAAAAAACAAAAAAAAAGAAAGAACCAACTAGCATGTATATTATATGACTTTCAAAAAAATGAACGAACTTGAATTAAAAGTTTTATAATCCTCTTTTAAAGAGTTGTATAAAGATTTAGACAGGTAGACAGTGTATACTATTCCCTCCATCCGTAAATTTTTGTCCCATTGCTAAAAAATAGGTTAAGATTTTAAAACTTTGATCATTGATTATCATTAATCTATAAGAGATAATATAATACGTGAATCTTGAAATATTCGCCTCATTGTGTATTATTAATATCAAGTTTTTGTAATTTTTATGTGCATGAAAATAAAGATATATTCGTTTTAAACGCGTTTTGAAAACGGTAAAAAGTAAAATGGGGCCAAAAAGTAGGGATAGAGGGAGTACATAGGGAATTGTTTCTTTGTTCTTTTTTAATGGACATGTTTCATTTATCACGCTTTGCAATGCAAATCTTTAACCGTTAATAACTTTAATTTTCCATATACTTCATTTGTTTCTTCTTAGTTGATACATTTCCTTAGTCACGTTTATCAATGCACAACTTCAACCATTCATATCTTTAATTACCAATATAAGCAAATATTTTAAAAATTTAATATTTTAAAAATATATATCATGACGAATCTAACAATATCCTACCTAACTATATATTTTCATTACATATAAACCATAAAACGCGATTAGAAGAGAGTGTGTAAATAGTGATAAAGTCAAACATGTCAACTAAAAAAAACTCGAGTAATATTATAATAGTACTAATTGAAACGATTCCCATAAATATGTTTATCCTTGCATATATAATGCACAAAAGAGAAGTGAAAATAGCGTTAAACTCGTTCGTGTAATAAGAATATAAAAGGAAAGCAGGGCACACTCAGTAACAAACCAAGCCACAAGTAGATTTCCCGCCAATTTATAACAAACCCACTTTAAGAATCTTCTTCACTCTTCCTCTTCAACAGCAACCTCCATTTCCCAAAAACCAGAGACCTCAAAAACACTCAACAATGGCGTTCACCTCCATCACCATTTTCTCTCTCCTCACTTTCTCTCTCCTCATTCCTCACCTCACCGCCATCTCCGACGAATCCATCAACAACGCCGCCGAAATCCTCTCAGACTCCGGCTTCAATTCCATGTCTCTAATCCTCCCTTTCATCTCTCAACCCCTCATTTCCTCCCTCTCTTCCGCCACCCTCTTCACTCCCTCCGACTCCTCCTTCTCTCTCTCTAACTCCGGCCAACCCTCTCTCTCTCTCCTCCAATTCCATTTTTGCCCTCGCTTCTACTCCTTCGTTGACCTTCAATCTCTCTCTTATGGAACCCAACTCAATACTCTCCTCCCTAACAGCTCTCTCTCCATTACTTCCTCTGATTTTGATGAAGATGTCGCCATTAATGGCGTCAAGCTCAACAGCTCCCCTGTTTTCGATGATGGGTTCTTCATCATCTTCCAAATCGACCGTTTCTTCAACCCCAATCTCACTGTGGGATCTACCACTGAGTTGGGTACTCCGAGTCTGAGTCCGATTCCGAGTCCTCCTGAGTGTGCCGCCTTATCGCCTCGCTCCGGTAAGTACCGCGACGCTTCGGCTTCTTTAAGGTCTAGAGGGTACTCATTAATGGCGGCGTTTCTTGATATGCAATTGACCCAATTCGACAACAATAACGACAAATCGTTAACACTGTTTGCACCAACAGATGCTTCAATGGAAGGGCATTTTGGGAAAAATAATTACAGTGAATGGGGGTCGATTTTTCTGAGGCATACAGTTGGGTGTGAGCTGAGTTGGGGTGATTTGATTGGTCAATTAGATCAAGGGTTTGTGATTCCAACTTTCTTGAACGGATTTCAGATTAATGTTAGTCGGAGTAATGTCTATAATTCTGCGTATTCTTTGATGATTAATGGTCAAGTTTCTGTTGATTTTCCTGAATTTTATCGTAATCATGGGATTGTTGTTCATGGATTAAGTGGTGTTCTGGTTTCCCCTGCTGTTAATGAGGAGAGAGAAGATGCTTATTCCCCTGCTAATGCCTTCAAGGTTGATGCTGATCATATCGAGTTTTGATCGTCTTTTTCGATTATCTCGACTCGGTTTGTTTGATGAATTTTGATCTTGGTTTAATGAGTTTTACAAGTTTTCGTCTCGACTTGGCGAGTTTTGAGCTTGACTCAGTGAGTTTGATAGTTCATGGTGGTATTGAGAATGTTAGAATATCTTCATAGTTGTTGCATTAGTTATGGTGGTATTGAGAATATTAGAATATCTTCATAGTTGTTGCATTAGTTTTGATGGTGTAAAATGTCATTTAATTTTACTGAATTGTGATTTTGGTTTTAATTTGAATGTTAAAGTTGTAATTGGACATGTTAATGTTTGATTGAATAGATATAATGATGTTTTTTTATTGGATTGTTGTTGATCATATAATAGCTATGTGGGTGATAACAGTTATGCTTTAAGTAGTGAAGTAATGAAGTAACCATCAGGAAAATCATAGACTCAATTAAATTATTGGTACAATACAATCAAGATTACAAACTACAATATTATAAATATACATATTCTTAAGTCTCAACCCAAATTAGACTTATATACAATAATATAAGATTTCAAAAAAGATTGAATATTTTAATTAAAAATACATAGAAAGAGAATTGAACCCCAAACCTTATTGAATGAAAACCACACGTATAGGGTGCTAATCGGGCGAGCCAAGCCCGAACTATGGTCAACTCGGCTCATGATCGTTTAAATTTGTTCGAACTCGAACTGAGTTCAAACCTTTAAGAGTCGAGCTTTGACTAAGTGTTGATTGAGCAAACTCGAACTGTTCACGAACAACCTTGATTACTTGTCTTCTTTATTGTTCATTACTAGCTTAGGACCCATGCCATGCACGGTAAGTCTAATTTAATTTTCAAAATTAATTAATTATGTCTAACAAATAAAATTGATAAAACATAAACATAAAAAAAAAAAATATATAGAAATTATAGTGTCATAATTTATATTAAAAGGCAAAGTAAAATTTTTAATATATAATCTCATGTTAGTTTAAAAATAAAATATAAATGTTTGGCAATTTGGACATCTTTAGAGCATGCACATTAATGAGGAAATCTAAATATTCTTTATCCTTTTTTATCTTTACTTTTTTCATTATATTTTTTTTTATCTCATATTTTAAATTGATAATTTCTTTATCATTTTTTTTTGAAGCAAATCATTAAAAAAAAATTATAAGTTGGAAAAATTACAAAAATATTTAATAGCAAATTAACTCAGTATTGCTTCATAAGAATTCAAATCAATATACCAAGAATAGAAATTGTTTTTTTCTAATGAACTCATCTATTGTACAAATATAATGATAATTCATTAATTATAATGTTAATACTGTATTTTTGGCTCTGTTATTTTATACTCTCCATCATATTTTCGAATATTTTAGATAAATTATATCTTATTAAATTTCTCCCTTAAGTAAAAGGTCTCAAAATCTTGTGTTACAACTAAAAGTGATCATGGGTCGGTTGACTCGTTTCAAGTTACTGGAAAGATACTTAAAAAGGAATTGAAATAATGTTTTAGCAAAAACTAATTTATTGTTACTGATTAGGGGATTTTTATCCTCCAATCACCGACTGACAAGTGGACCAACCAGGTTCCGCCACGTGTCCTTCACGTAGGCCAATAGGAGCTTGCCACGTGTCAATCACAGATTCGTCCTCTGCGGACCAATTGAGACACGCCACGTGTCCACCCATGCCAAATGGGAAAACCGGCCACCAAGGCCCAATCCTGTTTAGAGGCCCGGTCAGCCCTAGGTTTACCCTAAACCTAGAGACTGGCACGCTTCTCAAGACTATAAATACTCCTCTTAATCCTCATTAAGGGGGACAGAACTCTAATAACACACGGATTATACATTAAACACTCTCACTTAGAGAGGCAAAACCACTTTAATTTCCGTATCAATTACTCCTTAATCAGGTACTAACTTGACCGTTGGAGGCGGAGCTCTCAGGAGTCTCCGTTATTTTGCAGGTACAGGCGTCCGGTTCCAGTCTCGGTGTTGTAACTCTCCCGCAGGACATCAGAAAACCCCGAAACATTTGGCGCCGTCTGTGGGGAGAGTACTTCTGAGATGGCATCCAAGTCTGTACCGACTCCTGAAGAGAGGCGTCCCCTAAACGACCCTCAAGTTCAGTCGGACCATGACACTGAAAGTGAATTTGAAGTGGAAACTCATACAGCTCCAGACGGGACCCTAAGGGCCCGACGTACCCGTCATACCGAAAGGAGGGAACGGGAGCATCTTCAAACAGGAAGCGAGCCAGCAGGCGCACCGCCTGCTCGGCAACAGCCGACTGATGGGTCTGCTCCCATCACAAGGAACGAACTCATGACCTTCATGAGGGACTTCAAGGGAGAGATTCAAGAATTGATCAACAAAAAGCCGCCTGCGTCAGTCAAAGAGCAGTCGGCCAAAAAACCTTCCACTTCACTGAAGAGGAAGCCAGTTCAAGGGCGAGAGGCGACTCCTCATCCTAAATCCAAAAAGCGGGAGCCAATTGCTCTTGATTTCACAAAATTCCGTTATCCTACGGGAAATAGGAAACCTGTTCGTCACATTCAGGCGGACGGGTCGAAGAAAACATACACAGACGCTCGTCTGCTGTTAGAACAGAAGAAGAGTGACCGACTGTCAGAGTCGGCCTCTACTTCAAATTTTCAAGAAAGTTTACAAAATACCTCGATGAGGCCTACCCAGTCGTATCATGAGAGTCAGTCAGGCGGCACCTCCCGTCAGTCAGGCTTTCATAGCGACCAGGCGGTACCAAACCTACCGTTTGTACCGCAACAACAGTATTTTATGCAGCCACCTCCATTTGGTGGACCTACAGCAAAAAACGTCCAACCTATGGACTGGCAGCTACGGTTGCTTAGACTTGGTGAACAGCCGTCGGCCTTCTCCAAGGAAATTACTGAAGCCGCTCAGCCGGCCAAAGTAAAAAATGTACTAGTAGGTTCCTATGACGGCACTACTAACCCAGAAGACCATCTGATGGCATTCACCAACCTGATGTACCTTCAAGGGTTGGATGATTCCACTTGGTGCAAGTGTTTCCCAGCGACTCTCAAGGGAATCGCACAGCAATGGTTCGGCAACTTGCCGACTGGTTGTGTAAACAGCTTCAGGACGCTTGCTTACTTATTTGCCTCCAACTTCGCCATGAACATCCCTGCAAAGAAAACGACCCTTGATTTGGGAACAATTCAGCAGGGCGAGAAGGAGGGGCTTCGTTCTTACATCAGGCGGTTCAACCTGATGAGAATACAGATTCAAGGGTTACCGGATGAGGTAGCTTATACTGACTTTTTTAGAGGTCTCAAAGACGGGTCTACCTTCAAATTTGATTTGGTTCGAAAAAGGGTGGCGACTCTTCAAGAGGCCTTGATTGAAGCAGAAGCTTATATACAGGCGACTGATCTGTGTACGATAAAACAGTCGGACGGGAAAAGGTTCGACAAAAGAGAAGGACGACAGAAACAGTCGTCTACCAAAGAGGAGAAAAGAAAAGAGGTCTGGGCGGCCGATTCCTCTAAACAGCCGGCCCAGAAGAAGAAAAAAGAATTCAAACCATACTCCCCAAAGTATGTGTTTAACAAGGATAACCAGTTTATCCTAAAAGAAATAAAGGGCCGGTTCTCAATTGAGAAGCCGGTCCCCATGAAGGGTTCTGCAAACAACCGGAACCAAGACAAAATCTGTGCTTATCATGATGACGTTGGTCATCACACCAATGACTGCATCAGTCTCATGCGGTACCTAGACCGCTTGGCTGAGCAAGGTGATCTTGACACTTATGTCAAGAAATCTACGGGGAACACTTCCTCAAAAAAGCAGTCGGCAAAAAAGAATCAACAGGCCGACAGTTCCGATACAGATGATGCAGTCGTCTACACCATTGCAGGCGGCTTCTCAGGAGGCGGCCCCACTATTAGGGGCAACAAAGATAATATAAGGCGGTTAGATGTAAATTCCGTTCACCAAGAACGGCCGTCCAAATATACATTTCCTGAGATTTTCATCACTGAAGAGGATCTAGGAGGGGTAAGGGGGCCGCATGACGACCCTCTCGTTATTGAATGTAAAGTGGCCAACCAGAGAGTTGGTCGAATCCTCATAGATACCGGGAGCTCCTCAGATCTCATCAGCAGCAAATGTCTGTCAAAACTGAAACATCAGACGGACTGCATACATCCGGCCTCCCACCCTTTAATAGGGTTTGGAGGAGGAGTCGTCCACCCACTGGGACGAGTAGATTTACCCATTCGCCTGGGCGAAAAAGGGGAAGGACGACACATGGTAGTCCGGTTCCTAGTAGTAGAGGAACTCTCGGCCTACAACATGATTCTGGGTCGACCAACCCTGAATAATTCCAAGGCTGTTATAATCCCGTCTCTTATGCTGCTTAAGTTTGAAAGGGATAATGGAACAATCGGCTCCCTAAGGGGAGATCAGAGGATGGCCCGAGAGTGCTATCTCTCGGATGTCAAGCCCACTGTTATGGCCACTGGGTCAAGTGGAGAAAAAAACAGACCTTGACAATGTCAAGGAGAGTGCGCCTGTTCAAGAAACAGGCGACAAAAAGAGAAAGGCGTCACAGACAGAGTCCGCAAGAAAAGCAAGAAAATAGCAGTCATTGGCAGAGGAGCGGCCAGATGAGTTCCGCCCTCAGCCGGCTGGTGAGCATGCGGACCTGATCTTAGACGATTCACGTCCTGACCGAACAGTCAAAGTTGGGACGACTGCTCTGAGAAACCTTGGTGACGACTTTCACAACTTATTGAAAGAATACAAGGACATCTTTGCATTTGAAGTCCATGAAATGCCAGGCATTAGTCCTGATCTGGCAGTACATAAACTCGCTGTGGATCCGGAAAAGAAGCCGGTACGGCAAAAGAAGCGGAACCATGGCGAAGAAAGAAGTCAGGCGGCAGCCGCCGAAGTTAAAAAATTACTTGACGCAGGGTTCATTCGGCAATGTTACTTCCCA